TGTTATTATGTTCATCGGAGCAAGTCCATCCATGCACTCCAAGAAGGTTTTGAACAACCAAGTGTAACCATCCGTATCTTCGTTCCGAACGAGTCGGCAACCGAACTACAATGACTGATTGTGGTTATTTATTCCTATGAATGGAGTATCTTGTATATATTAGCGAGATATGTCGCGTCGAATGATATGCAATCACGGAAATATTTGTAGGCCCTTCTTGCAGCACCATCCACCCAATACATGTTTCTGACATGGTTCTCATCGTCCAATCTTATCCTGTAGAAGAAATCAACATCTTCTTTTGCTTTCTCTTCAAAGTAGGCTATCGTGACTTCTATGCCAGCCAACCTGCTCTCTCTACGGTACTTTGCCCTTAGGTTTGTGACATCTGCTGGTATGTAGGGCATGCTACTCAGTATACCATCTCCGCTGTGGATCAGGGACAGTATTTGGACCATTCTTGATGGACCGACGTTACAATCATGTAGCAACTTTACGAATTTCTTCTCGAGGGGGCAGAATCCTCTGTGGGCGCTCAGAAATTTTACCAGATCAAATTTCTTTATGAGTTTGTGGTTGTGTTCGTCGAAATAGTCGGTGACCACCCACTGTGCTCCATCTGCGTTTAGCTTACACCGGACATGGCATTCTATCTTGACAATGATACCTCTCTTTTGTTCCGGCACGACAGGTGCAACACCTTTCCCCTTCTTGTTCCTTCATGCCTTGTAGCACCTTATCCCACCTCTGTTGTACTCGTTAGTTTTTTTAGTTTTCCTATGGTATTCGGTGTTCACCGCAAATCCATGGAACATTGCATATGTCTGGTAGAATTCTTTGGCATCTTCAAACGAATCAAATCTCTGCCCGACATATGGTGGCTGAGGTACCATGATTTCTGATTGCCCATCTTCTTCACCCACTTGTGCTTCATCATCAGTTTCATCATTCACTTTAGTATTGGCGGCTGTTTTCATCTGCTTGAGTGTTGCTTGTGCTGGTGTGCAAAGGTGTGCTTGTCGATATTGCTGGAATGGTTGCCATTTCTGACACTGATTCTGCATTGTTTGTGGCAGGACTGTTGACTGGCTGGTGGAACGCTTCTTCCGTGTGCTCAGAGGTTCCCGCAGTAGATGTCCCCCCGCCGCTGTTGATTGTAGTCAAAGGCCCTGCAAAAAAATAGGTACATGTGTAAGCATTGCTTGAATGGAAGGTTTATCGTAACGGAATATAGCAACTACATCTGATTTGGCAAGATATCATTCATACAACAAGCCATGACATCTGCATCTGGCCATGCATGGCAACTGCAGTTTTTCAGCCATGGCAGCTACAGTTCAACAACCATGGCAGCTACTGTTGTCAAGACATGGCAATCAACATCTTTAGCATCAAAACATGCATTCTAGGTGCACGTGTCCACTTGGTAGCACTTTTGTTGTTTTCCGCCACCACCATGACAAATCCACTTTCCTCCATGCTTTTCCACAAAAGCAAATGCACTATTGTTTTGCTAGTTCATATATTTTCTACCTTGTTATGCCGCATGTGCTAACCGCATCTGGTTTGTCATTCCAATTTGATGTTCTCTATCTGCAATAGCGTTGGCCTGCAACTGTGAAGCTTGCCACGAGATGTTTGCCGATGTGGTTCCGCCATAACAACCTGTGATCACTTGGCAGTTGGTCAATGCATGACAACTGTAGTTTGTACAACATGACACGTGTAGTAGTTCAACCATGCCACACAGATTTTTGTTCACACTTGTCATCCACAGTTGTTTAGACACATGCAATCACATTTGATTAGGCATGGCAACTAGAATTGATTTGCCATGGCAACTGCATCTGTCCATGCATGGCAACTATAGTTGTCCAGGCATGGCAAATGCAATTGTACAGGCATGGCAACCAAGGAATAACACTGTAGTTGTACAGGCATGACAAATGCAGCTGTGTATGCATGGCAATTGCAGTTGTCCAGGCATGGCAAATGCAGTTGTCCAGGCATGGCAACTGCGTCCTGGCAAATCACCACGAAACCCCCAATGTCACCTATGTTCATTCTCCTGAATCACTGTCCACAAATTCACTTCATACGTCTCACCTGTGTACGACGTTGATGGTAGGTACATGGTTGCCACGTGCTACATGAAGGCCCTGCGTATTTCCATACAACTCGTAAGTCTTTGCCATCCTTGCAAGTTTAATTTCATGTCCACATTAGTATGTTTATTTTTCGTATGCGTTACCTTGATTTGCCACACTAGCTACTTAAAGTTGGTCGCCCGTACATCTGTCAGCGTTAGCGCCCTGTGCCTAAACTTACCATGGTATCCCCGTGTGCGTTGTTGTGTCATAAGAACCTGCGAAAAATGACATTGTAGGACATAAGTAGAATGCCATCTTCCTCGTCACAAATATGGCAACTGTCCCTTCTTTGATCATGCATCGTACCTATGCTCGCCTACTACTCTAGTAGTGGCAGTAACGGCCCTGCGGAAATGAGTTAACCATACTCTGTTGCATCCCAAGGGGGCGTTTCTGGCCTTTGAAAAAACCAAGGATCAGTGCCGTTTTCATGATTCATTTTCCCTTCTTTTTCTCCCCACTGTGTTTTTCAGTCACTGCATGAACAAGAACGCATCAATATTCGCAAAATGCATTCTTACTGTTTGCACATACAAGAAAACACGGCAATCTTATTACATTTCTTGCATAGATAACCAACACATCATGGCATGTAGGACATGCTCATTCATTCTCTTTTCTAAAATCTAGATGCCAACTATCATTTTGAACCGATGGCAACAGCGAACATAATATGATGGCAAGTAACAACACAATATTGTGGCAGCTGACGGCAAAGATAAGTGGCAACTAACATTAGAAACATGTGACAATTATTTTCCTCCCTCTCTATGCACCACCCAAATCCCTCCCTTCTTCCCCCTATTTTTTAGTGACGGAAATACTAATGCCCACACGTGTGGGCGTTTGCATCTCACCCACACGCGTGGATCAATGTCGGTTTGTGTTTGCACAAATCTTGGCATGTTTTGTCAGATTTTTTATGCCATGTAGGATGTGGTTGGTGTGTGGGCATTAGAGAGTTCGCCCACACGCCCGCAACACTCGGTTTGCCAGCTGCGCTGTGTGGGCGAACTAGTTTCTGCCCACACAGCCACCACCTAGTCCACGCGCGTGTGGGTGAACTGCTTTTCGCCCACACGACACTTGTACGTTGTTGGATGGCAACTGCAGTTACACGTATGTGGCAACTAGGTAAACACACGTGACAACTATGATTCGTTGCTAGACGGCAACTGCAGTTGCACGTATGTGGCAAACAGATAAACACACATGGCAACTGGATTAACCATACATGACAATTATGATTAGACCACACGTGGAAACTAGGTAAACACACATGACAACTACTGTTTGACTATAAGTGGCAAGTAGTTAATCACTCACGACAACTATGGTTTGATTACACGCAACAACTCCCAAAAATTAGAGATGGCAACTATAGTTAACCAAAACAGATAGAGCTGCCATGGTTTTACAACTACATTTGCCATGCCGGATAACTACATCTGCCATCTCAGATGGCAACTAAATCGTCAACCCGCGAGTACCTAACGTAGCTGCGCTAGGACGTGTGGGCATTTTTGCTTCGTGCCACACGCGGGGATGGAGATGAATATTACTTGTTGGGCGTGTGTCACGAAGTAGCTGCGCCCACACGTGTGGGCAATTATAATGTTCGCCCACACACAGCCCGTGTGGCCTGCCTCCTACTCATGCCACACACGGTGTGTGGGCGGATGTCTATATGCCACACGTGCGGGCGTTATCAGCGTCCTTTAGTGATTTCTACGCATTTTTATGCATCAACTATTCGCACCAACCCAACCCAGAAGCTTAGCTCAACTCTAGGATAGAATATGGCAGATCTGGCGTACTTTGGTGGGCAAATTTGAATACACACAAATCCGTGGTGTGTTTTGTCATGACATCGTGGATAGTCGCCATGTTCATGGGCAATCTGCAATTTCAATTTTCTGGACAGAAGAAGGACGAGAAACAGGAGGAGATCGAAGATCGACCTGTTAGCTTGTCGTCGCGGGGGTTGGGGGTGGGGGATGGGGAGGCGTTAGAGATCTGGTCCGGTTGCCACGGCAACCAGAGAAGGAAGACGATGGAGGTAGGGGATCGAGAGGTAGGAGATGACGACGGCAGGTCGGAATGGGGTTGGAAGGCAGGCCGGGACGACGGGTGCGTTAGGTCGTGCGGGCAGCGCGGTCGATCGTCCTGACGTGTGAGCGATTTGTGGCACACACCGGACGTGCGGGCTGTGGCTGCGTGCGCCCGGACGCCGTCGTGCGGGCGGGGTCATCTCCGTGCCAAACAGGACATGCGACACAACCGCACTAGATGCCACACGTGTGGCAGTTATCGGCGTCCTTTTTTTTTACATGAATCAAGTCCTTTAAATATATGGGCTTGGATCAGCCACAAGCCCGGATGGGCGATAGGCTGCTCTTCCCGGCCCGGTGGGCTCGCGTTGGCCATCCAAATACCGAATTCCCAATTCCCATAAATACACACTGATGGCAGCCTCTTGGCGCCAAATCGCGTCCCTTTTCCCGCCACCTCCCCTTCCCCGCGCCGCCGTATCCCTTCCCTCCCTCGCCGCGCCCCATCTCCACCGAGCGAAAGAAGCACACACGAGAGGCGACGGGGAGAATCCCTCGGTGCCAGTGGCAGGCGAATCCCTCGGCGGCCGGCGAAGGCGACGACGACGCAGGTGATTTCAGCTGTCCAATCCGCTCTCCCTGGCCTTCCCTCCTCTGTCTCCCCTGTGCTGCGCCTATCCTCCCCCATCTCCCGTGTCGCCTCTTGTCCTCCTCTACCCGACCAATCTAATACATCCACTCATTCTTTGACTAGGTTATTCTTCTTCAGCGCGGAAGATCGATCCAGTCCTCGTCTGAAATGGGGGATGAGAGGGTCGATGCCATGGAGATTGATGGGCAGCAGCGGCAAGAAGTCGCGGCCGCTGTGCCGGACGGCTTCAACGCCGACTACCTCCGAATCTACTACGGTAAAGTGCCGAAGTGATTTATTCCATCCTAGATCCCAATTTATGGGATGGTTTGGGGAAATAAGCTGAAATGGGAGGTAGATCTGCATTTCCTTGCACTGCGTTAGTGACGTAATACCAGAAGTATGGTGTGAGATTTCACGCAAAGGTTGTTTTGCTGCATTTTTTTCCAGTTGTGTGGATATTTCAAGTTTTTCTAAAGAAAAACATCAGGAGACTTTCGTACTGCATAAAAACTCTAAGTCAAGGTTATTAAACAAGAAAACACTAAGAAAAAGAGAAACCCAGTCTGTGAGCTGATTAGCATACTTCTTGAACTGTAGACAACTACGGTCAGCTCTTGTTTAATAACCTTTCAAAGGTCGTTTCTAACTCTTCAAATGCTGAAAGATGCAACAGCTGTAATTCTCATTTGGAAGGCCACCTGCAGATTGATCTTTTGGTCTACGAAGAACCTGTCGATAGATGCCGTATGTGCCCTCTGTTTGAGCAAACTAAATCCCAGCATTTGATAGAAAACAGGGCAAGAACAGACCAATTGGAATTCTTCCATTGACAATTATTTAATGCACGATCATAGTGTTATTGTTATGTCTTTATGCCTCAAAATGTGGAAGCAACTTTCTAAAAATTCTCAGCTCTAAAAGTTCTTTCCTACGAATTTCTTGTGCTTGCTTCCTCACATTTTTTTGGCTTGTGATTAGGTTCAAACTCAGTCTCTTTTGCCCCACTGTAGATGCTGGTTAACCAAAAATAATCTTACAAACCATATAGTGCTGATGACTATATCACAATTGCAGGAAAGCTCTTCCCATATGTTGATTTCTTCAAGTGGCTTGCATACGGAAATGGTATGTGATCATACCTTCACTGCTTCAGTAAGATGCTAACTGTCTTGCTCTTTGTTAACTGAATATTGTTTTCTGTAGATGCAAAGCATCCTGGATGTGACCAGTCATACATTGGGCGTCGGGAGCTTTCGTTTACACTGGAGAATGACATCTATCTGCGGTTTCAGTCCTTTGATAGTGCAGCTGAACTAGAGACTTCTATCAAGGAGAAGTGCCCTTTCAAGATTGATATTGGACCTGTCTACAGCATAGATGTATGATATAGCATCATTAAACATTCAATTGTTTCTCTTGATTTATTTTCTATATTATGACCTGTGTGTTATTGCCCAATGAAAATATTTTTTTGTAGCCTGCAAAGCGACATGCCTATGCCCAGTCTGGTAATAATGTCTTTGTACCAGTGGAAAGGGAACTTATTTTTGATATAGTAAGAAACATGCCATGTTATTTTCCTCCTTATAAGCGCGCGTCCTGTTATCTTTGTGCAACTGTAGCTAAGTGTGAACGTTGTCAATACTCCCAGGATATATCTGATTATGATGATGTTCGCTACTGCTGCTCTGGAGCTGACACCTGTCTGGACTGCTGGCCTTTAATGACAATTGTCATCAAAATCCTGGATACTTCACTTAGAGGCATGTTATTTCGTTATGCAACTACTTTGCACGCTGCATTCACATGATGCTATGAAGATTCTGGATAATTAACTGAGGTGCAGAATCTTTAACTCTCTTGGTTTGCTTCACTGTAATAACTGTAGAAAGTATGTTTTTGCAGGTGATTTTGGTTTCAATCACATATTGTGGGTATATAGTGGTCGCCGTGGTGTCCATTGCTGGGTTTGTGATAGTAGAGCAAGAAAGTAAGTTTAAGAGAACCTTTTCTTTGTTTCCTTGGTTTGATGATCGTGAAACTCATCTTTATTATTTCTGTCAGGCTAAGCAATGAACAAAGGTCTGCAATTGCTGACTACTTCCGTGTCTATAAGGTGGTATTTATTAATTCATAACTCCAGAAGCCCCTGAGCCATCTTTCTGAAATTTGTTGACCTGTATTACTCTTTCTTAGGGTGGCGAGAATTCACTGAAGAAAGTTTCGTTGACTGGGCCTGTCCTTCACCCTTTCCTTGCGTATGCTCTAACCATCTCTCTACTTGCATACCGTGTTAGTATGAATTGTGATGTACAAATTGGTTATACTGAAACTTTATGCTTCTGCAGACGGTCATACACCGATGTTCTGAAATGCTTCTTTGAAGACAAGCTGTTACATAGCCAACAACTATTTGCATCCGAGGAGAGGTGCCAGAAGATACTTGAACTTATTCCAGACGAAAGTAAGAAATAAAACTTTAATCAGCAGAGATGATGTTCTTCAAATATCACTGTTATTGACCATTTCTTGTTCATAAAGTATGAAATGTGTTTTATACCATCCTGAGAGGGCGTGTTTTCTAGATGTTGCTAGTGAGCTCCATGATAAATGGCAAGGAAATAGACGATCCTCCATCTCAAAAGAAGATGTGAATGCAACAAGATGGGAGCAGTTAAAGACGACCTTGCAGTCAGGAAAGCACAAGGTTAATGTTTAATCGCCTGTAGTCCTATTCACTTCTATTGCATATGTTCCAGTTATCAATTGGTATATACTCCCTCTGTAAACTAATATAAGAGCGTTTAGATCACTACTTTAGTATTCTAAACGCTCTTATATTAGATTACGGAGGGAGTATTTTTCTTCAGTTTCCGTCAGGATGAGTTGTGCAGTTATTCACTCTGATTTTTAAATTACAATTACATCTTATAATTCAGCTTACCCTGACGTATTATTTCTACATCTCAGACGCAGGGGCTTCGTAGATGTGTAGAAGAGATTGTCTTCTCGTACACGTATCCTAGACTTGACATGGAGGTAACAGCAAAATTATACCGATCCATGTTCGTAGCAAGGGAAATATTGAAGTATTTTCTGCCTATTAATTAAACTGTTGTTGTATATCAGGTGTCAAAGCACATGAATCATTTACTGAAGGCCCCCTTTTGCATACACCCAAAGACAGGTAGAAAACCTGAATAGGTTTCTGATTTTAGTTAAATGTAATATGGTGTGAATTTGCATGCATGAAAAAGGCAGCATGAAGCTTTTTGTCCATTGGAAGTTCTATTTTGTCTGTTCTGTGAAAGATACACACTTCTAAAATATATGCATCCACTTAATACCTACAATTATGCTTTCACTTTGCTTGGTTTTGAAGGACTCAACCATGTTCTAATTTGATTATAAAAATATGTTCTTTCTTTGTACAGCTGTCTGAATGATATTTTTGTCACCTCACTACTTCTAACAGTTGTTTTATTGTATCCCCAGGGCGTGTTTGTGTTCCAATCGATCCCAACAATTGTGAAGATTTTGATCCTACGGCTGTTCCAACTTTATCACAGGTATCTTGTATAGAGTGAAGCATAAATATATAGTATGTGTTCAAAATGTATGTGTGCCTGTTGATGCGTCATGATGTGTCCTGACTTGCTGAAACTACCATGCATGGCCAGCTGTTAGGAGAGCTCAATGCGGCTGGTATGCAGATTGATTCTGAGAACGGTAAGTGACTACAAAACTTCTACCTGTCCTAAGGCGCATAATTGTAGAACTTGCAAATGACATCTTCTCGTACCATACAGCCTATTTTGCACCCCCCCCCCTCTCTGACAATCCTGCTTTGAATTGCAGATTTGGAGAGAACATCCCTTGAAAAGTACATCAGATTTTTCAGAACGTCCTTTCTTCAACCAATGCTGAAAGCTTGCAAGGTATGTGTTCTCTGCTGCTACTCCCTTCTTTCCAAAATATTTGAAGTTCTAGGTTTGTCCTGAGTCAAACATCTTTAAGTTTGACCAAATCTATTCAGAATCATACCAACATCTACAACACCAAATTAGTTTCATTAGATTCATCGTAAAATATGTTTGATGTTGTGGATATTAATGTATTTTCCTATATACATGTTCATGAGGCACCCATTTCTATTTGCTGAATGCCAGCTTTTGCCATGCAATTCTGCAGGAGGAACTGGAAGCCGCTTATAGTGCAAAGCTCCAACAGTCCAAGAATACCTTGAGCTGGTAAAAGCTCAATGTACAACGGAGACAGTGCCTCTCTCGCATGGGCAGCCTTCTTCTTTTCCGAGAGGTGCCTACTCCCCGAGTTCATCTAGGGCACAGGTCATTCATCCTATTTGTTGCTCTACGGGCGAATGTGTAACTGTTCAGCTACCGCTGTGTCTCACAAGCTCAGGCTCGAATGCATTGTTACCAGCTTGTTCTTGCGTGGTGTCTATGTTTGAAGCTGTTAATCTTTGACGAACAAATGGTGCTGCGCTATTGCATAGAGCCTACCGTTGCAAGCATATTACTGACTAATACTCCTCTGTAAATTAATATAGTGATCTAAAAGGTCTTGTATTAATTTATAGAGGGAGTACATTGTATCAGCTATTCTTGTTATGCGGCACTATATGGGCCATGAGGTCTTTGACTTACGACAGAGGACGCTCGAGTTTTAAAATAGAGCATCCACAACCGGACCCTTCCTCCCCAAACATTGATAACCCAGTCACAAAATTGTCATCCAATCAGACCTTCAAAGCCAGCCCAAACGTGATTTGGGGGCGCTTGGATGGTGTTTGCCTCCAAATTGACCAAGTCCACCAAATGCCCTTTTCTCGTGCCCGTCCTCCCTTCCCATGCATATAAGCCGGCGTCCACCTCCAACTTTGCTCCATGTTTGTGCCGTCGTCCTTGTCTACCATCCGATTTAGCCAACTTAGATGTCGACGTCAAGTACCCCTTCCCCCATTGCTGCCATGGTTGATCTTCAGCTGACTTCATGGGGTTTTGACCATCATCACTTGCAAGATGGAGAACATTGCTTGGTGGGAGCAGCGCGAATTTGCCTAGTCTGGTTGTAGATGCTTTGACCCATCCGTGGACAGTGTCGGTGGCCCCTCATTTGTCCTACGTGCCCTATCCCGTCACATCCTAGTTGGTTACGTACAAGGAGACAAGGAGAATGGGTCACCTCGACGTGGCCCTCTGGTGAACTGACATGGGGTCCCGGCCCGCCCCACTTGTTCGAGAGACGACATGGTGAGAGCCCCCCTATCCGAGACACCATCAGTAGCCCCTGAACCGGTTTTCAAGCTTGGGATGCTCCTCAGTTTTTTGAGATGTTCAGATGTTCTTCATCTTCAGTCGCTGATCTTGGGAATTAGTTGAACGAGTCCTTCTGTATCCAATTTCTTGAACGCTTAATTGTATGTGAGGTGTTTCATGCCCACCTTGGTTTCTACCAAGCTCTTCATTATTTCTGTGCGTCTCCGGAGGACGGAAATATTCCCACGCATCAATAGTCATTAAGTATTCCCGTGCTTGGCGTGTCATGAGGATCCAATCTCTCACCATCAGCTCAGACCGATCCCATCCATCAGCCCACGTGGTTGCGAGGTGCTTATGTCGATGGTCAACATACATGCAGACGTGTGTAAGGACCCCACCATTGTCACGTTTTATCAAAAAAGTAATTGTGCGCCTCGATACGATAATTAATAAATCGCCTCCTCAATTCCCATGTGTGATTAACGCATGACATGGGAAAATGTGGGAGTTACTGCCACGCGACATATTTATCCCGCTGACGCTTCGCGTATTACTCCACCCATAAAAGGCCAGGGGCGAGGAGGAGCCAAGTTATGCTCTCATTCTCCCTAATCTTCCTCTTCATCTTCGAGTTCTTGCACCCCGAGCATTCTTCATGCGCCCGAGCTCAAGAACTTCCGCCCGTTCTTTCTCCACCTCTTTTTTGACCATGGCCGGAGAGGGTAGCCAGACCTAGGCAGGGAAACCCCCCAAGGCTGGCAAGAAGACATCGGGAGAGCCATGAATCGCCTCCCAAACAAGGGGAAGGTAGAGGACCAACACGATGACGGCGGACCAGTTGTCCTCGGTCGGTTGTCTGCTAACACCGGAGATCGCTCCTGTTCGCTCTGCTTCCATCGCCAGGGACGGCATTTTTTACTCTGTTAGGGTGCCCCAGCCATGTATAGGCGAACGGGTATGTTTCGTCTCCCATCTCCTACATAGTTTGCGATTACCAATTCACCCCTTCCTCCGTGACAACCTCCATTTCTACGGCCTTCAGTTCCACCATCTTGCCCCAAACTCCATCCTCCACATCTTGCGCTTCATAACTTTCCGTGAAGCTATCCTGTGTCGTGAGACCAAATTTGGGCTCTGGTGAAGTTCTTCACTGTCAATCCCTAGAACAACGACTCAGAGGTGTGCGAGTGCGGGGGCGCCTCAATCAGCAAGATCCAGGGCGCTGGGTGGCTAAAGGGGGACTTCATCGACACCATCAAAAACCGGCAGGAGGAGTGGTTTTACATCTCGGATGTGTCATTGGCAGACCCTCCTTGGTCCCGAATAGTCACCCCTGTAGGATCGGAGTATATCGACCAGAGGGGATGGGTGAATGGGAGATTTAAAATTTCTTTCGAAACTTAAATACTCCCAGCACAACACAACGGAGAACTAAACAAATGCAATTCTATGAAATAAAACTATTTCTGAAACAAAATTATTTCAAAAAGAAACATGCAAATCTACTGGGAAGTAGTAATCAAAATAACGTTGAAGAGAATGACAAGGTAGCAATAGATAAATAATCGATGACCATAGAAACATAGAAACAAATCACCTTCAGCATAGTAGAAACATAAAGAAAAACATGTATATACACAACATTGTATTGGTTCAGATAAACAACTTGGAAGATAAACACTCATAGTGTACAAATAGATACCTATCGAGGACAAAGAACACCGAATATAAACCACTAAAAGAATTGCAGTGGAGTGGATGTGACCAGTGGTGCTCGATGACGACATATGATGCAGGGTAACTCAACCCAAAATAAAAAACGTCCTACGCACCACCCCAGGACCACTATGAAGATGCATACAAGGTTAGATCTGATCATTACCAACTCGTAGCACATCAGAAGAAGAGTTGGCGAAGTTGTTGGTGCAAATTCCCACAACTAGGATTTATAACCTCCCAACCGCAATAATTTTCTCCATCGAATTGTCCCTCGGATAGAAGATTGAACGTACAATCTCTCTACCCGGTTGCACACATACGGTGTCACCGATCCAACAACGCTTCACCGTCAGAACTAATCCTTGTTAGAGACTAGGCAACCTTGCGGTGCTACAAAACTATTTCATGTAGTAGCTAGAGAGAGAGAGAGAGGGGGAGGGGAGAGATCATTGCATACCATTTGGCGAGAGTTCAAAGGATCAAGTTGGAGTGTGTTTGGAGGGATCCCTCCACCTCTAATCACTAGATATATGATCCTCAAGTGTGTGACCCTGTAGGTTCGGTGAAGTATAAACATGACTGGAACATCTTCCGATCAATGATCAATGTCGGGACCGTTGACATCCATATTGACCCCTATACCCACATGAATAAATATTTGAGTGAACCTTTAGTTACTTTGTGATATTCTTGTTGCTTCATGATATGTTACAAAAACTGATGTGAGATTTTCCGGCATCCCCGTGAATCAACAACTTGTTCACTATGTCAGTTTCCTCATTACCGACTTTGTTCTCTTTTCTTGTTCCCATGTTTCGGCATCCTTGTGATCAAATCACATTGTGTCTGTCTAGACGATGATGGATATTGTCACACCGAGAGGGCCCAAATAATATCTCTCCATCGCCATAGGAGCAAATCTTAGTCTTGAGGTCTAGTCCCTTGTCATACTTTTTTGTGAACCCGTAAGCTGCCGAATTGCCACCATGTTATGGATGACGTTTGACAAACCCAAAGTTCATGAAGCATAAGGAACTCAATACTCTCATGGTCTAAGGAATTATGAAAACATTTGACTTTCTCTGTGTTATAACCCATTAACTTTGCGATAGATGGATCTCATAGCATAACAACAATTGGGTCGGTTCAATGCAAACGTTCTCCTAACATTGTGTCCTGAAAGTTGTCGGCATTGACATGCCCATGATTAGGAAAATAGAACCATCATGCGACACTCGAGCTAGTCTTAGAGGCAATACTGGGAATCAATTTTACCGTTTATTATTCCACACGTGCACATGATTATTACTCCAAGCTTCGTGGTTATTGCAGACTCGAGAACCATTGCAATTGTAGCACAAAATATAAAAAATAATTACAAACTTGGAGATAAACATTAACTTTTATTATTGCATCTAGTGCATATCTCCTACAACTGATTTGGTAGACCATTTCACTCTACTTCAAAAGAGCTACGTTTGGTTGGAGGGACTTGTGATTGAGCACATGAGATAAACTCTCTCTGTCCTATTCTCCTCAACGACAAGTTCTTGAAACTTTTGTTGATTTACTCATGGTAGATTCTTCTCAGAAATCTCCAAATGTTCAACATAATTTTTCTTCCATGACTACAATTACTGTTGGCCACTCTTCGCAAATCATAATGACTTATGGTTGCTAAAGACTTTGACTCAGTGACAATAATTACTCTTCGTCACTCGAGCAGACGTCTAACCGTCTAGAGAGTTGTAGATCTCAAGAGTAATAGGCGCAAGAACTCTCAACTCAAATCTACTCTAATGCTCAACCACTATCTAAGTTTTTGGCTCTTGATTTTCTCTCTGTGGATTTAAACTCAAATCACTTGGAGAGGGGTGCTCAATCAATCTTCTCAGAATCTCAAGCGGAGCAACCAACGAACAACATTGGTGCGGGGTGGCTATTAATGGCCGCAGCCTTCGCACGAGAGAAATGACCATTTTGTATACACGATCCAACCAATAGCCAGCCGACACGTTTCCAAGGGTCAGATTTTGAAAGCACCCAACAACTTTACTTGAGGAACAAGTAAAGCTAACTCCTCGGTTCAAAACATTTCTCTCGCGGCCCAGAAGATCATCAAATCTGGCTGAAAAGTAAATGTCTTGAAGCACATAGATATTTCTCTCAACGCTCATAGGATAGGTTTTGGTTAAGCATCACAACATACACAAGTCTCCAATTACTTATACCCCTCTTGATAGTACATTTGTC